CGCGGCGGGGCCGGGCGCTGCTCCAGGTTACCCACGCCGCCCCTCCTGAAGGTCCGGCCCCGCTCCTGTTTGGCGTCCGCTGCCGCTGCCCCTCTTCCCAGGGGCCGAGCTGGGGCCCCCGCCCAATCCCCCAGCGCCTGATCGCGCTGCCGGCAGGCCCCTGCCCAAAGCCGCCGCCTGCCTGGATGGGATTCGCCCCACGCCTGCGGACGGCGCGAGGCTCGTGAGATTTTGGCAATCTCCAGCTTCCCTCGGATCCACAGCACGTGCGGGCTCCGGAGGCTGCTGCCAGGAGGGCTGCGCCCACGCTCCCGCAGAGAGACCCAGGTCCCCGTCCGTGTGACGGCCATGTCTCTTGGCCCCAGGATCCGTGGCAACGGCCACTTCCCTGCCAGCCACAGACTTCTTGGGGTCTGGCTTGCCCTAAAGGGCTCGGAGGACAAGTCCTGCCCGAAGTGGGGCTGGCCCCGCAGAGCTGGTGCCCAGCAAGTCTCGGCCTCTCCCAGAGCTTTTAACACCGCCCCAGGCCGGGAGCTGCACCCTGGCCGAGAGGTGGGTCACCCTGGCTGAGAGGTGGGTCACCCTCCCTTCCACAGGCCGAGGTGTCCCCGTCCCCAGTCACCCTCGCAGTCCCCACAGCCCTGCCCCGACCCGGGCAGCCCCGCGCTGCCGGGGGCCTCATCCAGCACCGACGGGGTGGGGGGGAAGAACAGCACAGCACCTCCGGTACTCTGCACAAGCCTCCTCTGCGCTCCCAGCAACAATAAATACTAATAAATACAAACTCTTCCGCACTTTCTACTCCCAGGTCTCCAAGCTGGGAGCAGCACCGGCAGAAGGCGAGGGCATGTCCATGGAGTGCCGGAGCTGCTCCCCAGCCCCTGCCCCTCCCGGGGAAGCCCCCTCGGTGATCCCAGCCCTGCTGCAGGCCGCGGGCACGGTGTCCGTGCTGCTCAGGAGGATGGGGGCGCACGGGGAGGGCGATACTTCAAGGCAGTGCTTGCTTGCTGGCCCTTTACTCATCTCTCCCCAAAGTGTTGGGTGGGAGGCTCCCTGGTAGCCCTGGGGGATGGAGAAGGTCAGGCCCGGGGTGAATAGCAGGGGTTCCTCGGCATCTCCGTGAAGGATTTCAGTTCGTAGGGGATCCCCGAGTCGACCTCGATCGACTTGCGGGAGAAAAGCAGCCGGATGTCGTCGTGAAGGTAGACCTTCCCCGACTTGGAGCTGTGAAACCTGAGTGGAGACAAGAGCAGGGCGGAGGGGCCTCAGGCTCCCAGGCAAGGGCAGGACAGCCTCGGTGGGGGGCACAACCCCCTCGCCAAGGTGGCCATGCTCCGATTGCCTTCAGAGGGACAGAGGCCGCTGCCCTTGGGCAGGATGGCAGCTCCAACCTCCCCAAAAGAGCGGCCGGTCCTTTCTCCTCCCCAGGGCGAGGGGGTCAGGCTGCCATCCCCTCACTCTGGCCTGCAGGTTTGGGGAGACGGGGACACATGGGAGGGGAGCCCAGGGGTGACCCTGGGGCAGGCGTCCATGCCTCCCAGCGTGCCCTACCTTAGGTGCATCAGGTAGCAGAGGACCCTGCGAGGTGGGCCGGAGCCCGGTGGGTCGCTGGGGGCCGCCGTGGCCCCTTCCTCCTCCCCCACGGGCACCAGGAAGATGCGGTGGCGTAGGAAGGTCATGTGGTTGGCCGGCATGTCCTGGAAGTCGTACGTCACCAAGAACATCTTCACCACAGTCTTGTTGGGGTTAAATAAGGTCTGGGGGCAGAGGGGTAGGGGGTGAGAGTGGGAAGGGCACCGGAATGGATCCGCAGGGCAGGGCTGGGGCATCTGGAGGCAGCAGCACCAGCAGGCCCGAGGGTCCAGGAAGACCCACACCAGTCCCGAAGGGCTTAGCCTGAGGCTCACAGGTCAGTCCTTTCCACCCCCCTCCACTCCCGTGCTCCTATCCCATCCCCGCTGCACGTACACGCTCTTCTGCCGAGATCCCATCCCTCCCCACCAACCTCCTCCTTCCCTGCATCTCCCGTCACCTTGTCTCCCTGCCAGCACCCCAGAGACCCTATGCTCCCCTCCGCTGTGCTGTCTTGGGGGCCACGTACCCCCTCCACACAAGCTTTCTGGCTGTTGCCCTGCCAAACAACGTAATGGACCGTATCCACACCGGGGGGCAACCGGAGCCCACCCAGCCCCCTCCCCATGGCGCTGCCAAGAGGCCAGGAGACGACTCACCACTTGGATGGTTCCAGCTTTGGGGACACTGTAACCCTTCTTTCCCAAGGCCTCCAAGTCAATCACTCCCTGGGGCAAAAGAAAGAGCACGTGAGAGAGGGAGAAAGCCCACGGAGAGCCCAGCCGGGAGCAGGCACAGAGCCGAAAGCCCCCCTCGCCAGGAATGCCTGGCACAAGGCAGCAAGAAGACGCCCAGCTCAGTCCCTCTCCGGACCGGGGGACGAACAAGCAGCAACGCAGAGGTGACGGCAAAGCAACAGCCACAAGACGGCTGGGCGGCAGCCTGCCTGTTTATAGGCCTGCAAGGGTTCCCTCTTCTTTGCTTCTTGGGTTAAAAACTGCTCCTGGCACAGCTAGCCGTCTCCTCGGGTAGGTGGTTGCTCGAGCCGCACTCTCCGCAGAGGGGCAGCCCCCAGGATGCGCAATGCCTGGGTACAGCCCCCACTCACCTCCCACACGGCCCCAGCCCTCCCTCATCTGCGTACCAGGAAAGGCGAGGGCGCGCTGTGTTCGGAGATGTCGAAGTAGGTGACGTCAACAGGCAGGGTGGCGTGCTGGGGGCAGTAGGAGCCGCTGGCACCGATCTCTGCCGTGAACCCCTCGATCCTCCCCGATGGTGCAAAGCGCCCTTTTAGGATGGACTCCTGAGAGAGGGGGGAAGTGTTAGGGACCTTCAAACACCAGTCCTGCCCCTCGCCTCGAAGCTGCAGGTGAGATCACCCCCATCTCCACCGCAACCACGTGTCTGCTTGCCCTCGCGCGTCTCCCGGCTTTGCAGAGACCAGCCATGAGGGGCCCTGGCTGCTCGCTCTGAGACAGACCCATCCTGAATTGGTGGGCTAAAACCAGCCATCTAACACAGAGAAGCAGTGAGAGCGCCTCGGCTCAGCCCCACAGCAGCCACCTCAGCAGGTTCCAGGGTCCTGGCGCATCACCCAAGGATCTGCTGGCTGAGACATCCTGCTGGTGGATGGTGGCTGTGTGACACGGCCACTGCACGCCAGGCCCTTGGGGACAATCAGCCCAGCCCCAAGCCAGGGATCCTGTCAGGTTCAGCCTCTCACATCCATCACCAGCCCATCCTGGAGCCCCCAGAACCCACCTCCCTCCCTGGCAGTTACCTCAAAGTTGCCCAGCAGAGCGTGGCTGACGGTGGTGGTGGCCCAGGGCACTGCGGAGGACCTGGTACCCCTCCGGAGGCTGCTCCGGAGATGTCGCCTTGGAGAGAGGAGAGATTGGTGTCAGACTGGAGAGCATGCAGCCCTGGGCTGCCCTCCCCAGGTCCCTCTGTCCCTTTCTTTGGTGGAGGTTGAACCCACTTTCCTACTCACCAGGGGCAGAAGAAACCTCCCTCCACCCCACAGCCTGGGGTCTCGTGGAGGGGAAGCACCCGGCACAGGGAAGGGACCCGGCGCAGGGAAGGGACCTAACCTGACCCTCCCACAGGGCTGTGGGGTGCTGGAGTGGCTGGGCACCCCGAGCCCCCACGTCCATCCCGCAGGGCTGCCGGGACACTCACGATTTGAGGCGCAGCCCGCTCTTCAGCCTCCTCCCGACCACAGTGCAATCTGCAGAGCTCTGGAGGGGACACGAAATAGAGAACCGTGTTAGGGCAGCAACCGGGGACTGCGCACCCTCAGGAGGTGCCATCGCCCCTTCCACTGCCCCATAAGCATCCCAACAGATCAGAGAGGCTCCCATCCATGGGGAGCCATCAACGGCCCCTGCAGGGGCGGCCAGCAGGGCAGTGTGAGGGCTGCGGTGTCTGGTGGAGATGTGGGGCTGCCCAACCCCCAGAGTGGCTCTGCTGGGGATGAGGGTGTCGGTACCCAAGCCGAGGGTGCAGCGCACAGCTCCTGCCTCGCAAAGCAGGTCTCAGGACCAGCCCCAGTGACAAGACACCCCCAGACAGAGCCATGCACCAACACCCCTTTGCACCTCCCAGGGAAGGGAAGGGTAACACGTACGATGAAGATCCCCGACCAGCCCGGGAAAAGTCTCGTCCCCTGGTGATTCATGCAAAGTCCTCAGTAGTGCCACTGGGCAGAGGGGTGTGCTGCCCGCCCCTGCCCACAGCCAGGCTCCTACAGCTGTAGGGTGGGGGGTTAAAGCCAGGGCCACACTGCAGCCTCCTTTCAAAGATGTCCTCTTTTCAGGGGTTTTCCCTTCTGGAAGCCACACAAAGGGCAGCACAACACAAAGGGATGATGGAGCTGGCTGGCATGACCGGGTGGGAAAACCAGGGAAGCTGCTGGAGGGCTTCACTCTGTAAGGGCAGTGCTGGGGGGCAGCTGGGCTGGGGGACAGTCACCAAAAAGGGCACACGGGCAGGGATGGAGCTGTGCCCCGTGGATGGTGTGTCCCGGCTCCAAGCAGCAAGAAGCCAGGGCAGCTCTGCTGTCGGTCTCTGCGGGTCCTTGCACCATGGGATGCCCCAGGGAAAGAGAGGAGCATGCCAGCTCTGGCATGAGCCTGCTGCAGCCTCAGCTGGCAGGACATGGTGAAGGCAGGGAGCTGGCCAGGAGGGGCTGGTAAGCAGGGAGGAATCGCAGGCAGCTCCTGAGCTGCCAGGGTGGTTGCAGGCCTCCGGAGTCTGCCCCATTTCTGAGTTTGTGGCACCCTGGGGACATGCCACGGGCACCCCAGAATTGCAGAAAAGCCAGTGGCATCTCTGCACACAGCACTGGGGCTCCCACTCTCTGGCCAGAGCATGTCCAGTCCCACTCCCTGCCACCAAACCCTTTCCCTGATAGATATCACGGCCAGGGACTCAAGCCATCCCACCCCTCTGCCTTCCTCCCCATCAGGCAGGCAGAAGACAGCCACCTTTCCCAAGCCTGCTGGTAGGTCTGGCTTAACGTGAAGTTGTCAGACACTGAGTGTGGCCACACGCCACACGTCCAACTCCTGCTGTCACAGGGAGATCATGTCCTGTCCGAGCAAGGCTCTCCAGGCTAAAGAGCTGGTTGCAAGCAGAGGATCCAGTGACTAAGAGGTGTCAAGAGTCGGTGACAGCCTATAGACCGTGTGTCCCAGGGCTGGCTGTCAGCCACTGTCCTGCTCACACCAGTGCTGTGGCACTGGGACAGGACAGGGTGCTGTGCCACGACGGACCACATTGCCCACGAGGGCAGCCCTGAGCTCTGGGTGTCCCCGGGCCATGCCCTGCCTCCCCCCGAGAGCGATGCTCACCTTGGCTGTGGGAAGCAGGTGATTCCAGAATGGGGCCCCCTTGGCATCAGTGCTGCGGCAGGCCGTGGGCACCGCATGGCATGGCAGGACCCTCTTCCTTGCCGGCGGGGACAGGCTCTCGTCCTCAGAGCAGGAGTCGGCCACAACCTCACCAGCAGGCAGCAGCTTTCTTTTGGCCGGGCAGCTGCTGCCGCTGAGCTGGCTGCTCCCACAGGGCGTCTTCTCCAGGGAGCTCAGGTTGCTGGGCTCAGGGCTGAGCGCTGTCTGTGGAGCTGGGGGCTCCTTGCACCCATTGGCCACCACTGGCCATTCCTCTTCTCCGCTAGCCCTGCTGCTGTGAGCTGGGTTGCTCCCTGGCTTCTCTCTCCTCCCACCAGAGTCCAGCCGGGCTGTTTGTGCAATATTGTGCAAATCAAGGTGAAGCAAGTTGTGGCCACTTGCCCGTTCCCCATTCTCCCCATAGTCTGTGGGCTGATCCCCTGATGAGACAGGGCAACCGTCTCTCATGTGCAAAGTACTGCAGGCAATGTGCTGGGGCCAGGAGGAGGAGGAGACATCCTGCGACTTGTCCTCTCTGCTGGCCTTGGGGCTGTGGCTAGGGCTGCCCTCACATCGGTGCTCCACCACCCGCAGCCCGCTGTGGGAGAAGTGCTGGGCAGAGCCGCACAGGGATAGCTCCTCCACCAGCAGACCGTCCTCGAAGGTATCGTCATCATCCAGGGAAGCCTGCCCAGGGCCCCCGTCGCGCTTGCCGTCCACCCCCCCGCCACCCCAGTGAGTTCGTTTGGGATCTCGCCCCCCCTCCGGAGTTCGCTGCTCGGGGTAACCCCTCTTGACAGCTGGCCGGCTGCCTGCCCGCTGCTCCGTGCTCTCAGAGGAGCTGGAGAGATGGGAGAAGATGGACACCTGGTAAACCTTCTGGCGCTTGATCTCTGTCTCGTTGTAGCCCATGAGGATGCCACGGCGGGTGCAGCGCTGCGAGGAAGGCTCCAAGGGCGCCTCTCCACTGGGCTGGGACAGGCTGGGGTCTGTGCCGCGCTCTGGGGGCAGGGACGTCTCCGCGTGGATGTGCCGCATGGAGCCTTACTTGCCTGGACTCTGAGCGGAGCTGGAGTCAGAACAGCCCATGCAGCAGCAGGAGGGGGACTGTAAAGTGCCACAGGTCAGGGTGCGAGGGCAGGGGGTGGGAGCTGGACCCCGCCTTGCTCAGGACATCCGGGTGAGCCCTCTGCTACGGGGTGCACTGCAGCGCAGCATCTGAAAAGAGAGAGCGGGAGGACGGAGATCAGCCCGGGCTTTTGGCCGCAAGGGACTTGCTGGGACGCGGGCAGCTCCCCGTACAGCCCAACTCGGACCTCTCTCTGGGGGGACGGGAAGAGGAACCAGGCTGGTGTGGCTCTCCGGGGAACCCTGCAGCGTCACCCACCTGCAGGATCAGCACTTTCTTCCTGGCGTGGGCACGGAGAGGAGTCTCCAGCTGGGCTGGAGGCTACTGGGGACAAGTCTGGACAAGTGGGGAGAAGGGGGCCTGCCCTCTGCCAGGGACGTGATGTACTTGCACTGTTCTGGAGCGCAGGAGTCAGGCAGGTCAGACCAGTCCCAGGGGCTCAGGCCTGTAATCACCCCTTTGGGCAACAGCAACAAGATCTCCCGGCGCTGGCCAAGAAGATCTGCCCCAGCCGCATGCGCTGAATGAGGCAGGGCTGGTGCCCTATGCTGCCAGCCCCAAGGCAGGGACATTTCCCCTGGCTGGGTAGCCTGGGGAAACCTGACCTAACGTTCCAGCTCTGCCGGCTTGGACCAGAGACCTCCACCACCTCAATCAGCAGCTGGGTGGTACCAGGGGCTGCAGAGCCCACCGTGGGCTCCTGCACCACCCACCCACCCCTGCCTGCCCTGAGGGCCTGACCTCCTCCGTGCTGCACGCGCCTCACTTTCGATTTTCAGCCCAGTTTCAGAGCTGTGAAAATCCTGGCCCTGAGTTTTTCTGGTGTGATAAACACTGAAATGGCTCCAAGAGCTGAGATGCAGGAAAAGTCACCAGCAGGCTGAGGAGCTCCAGAGCCTTACAAACCGCCTGTGCCTGGCAGCTCTGCCCTTTGCCTGTCCCCACAGCTCTGTTCTCGTGGAGCAAAGGCTTAGGGGCAGGCGTGCAACAGGGGAATCTGTTCTCCAAGTGGGTCAAGGCTATCTGGAGAGCGAGGCTGCATGTGGTATTTTGACCCCCGCCGTGATGAGGATGGGAAAGTGGCGGGCCAGGGTGGTTGAGCCCAGGGATTTTGTTTCCAAGGAGTGATGAAAGGCATAGCCATGCACCAGCGCATGCTGGGGGCTGACCAGCTGGAAAGCAGCTTTGCAGACAAGACACTGGGATCCCGGTGGACACCCAAGCTGAACGTGAGCCAGCAATGTGCCCTTGCCACAAAGGCGGCCAGCAGTATCCTGGGCTGCATTAGACACAGTATTGCCAGCAGGCTGAGGGCAGTGATCCTTCCTCTCTGCTCAGTACTGGTGAGGCCACACCTGAGAGAGTGCAGCAAAGGGCCACGAAGATAATAAAGGGACTGGAGCATCTCTCCTATGAGGAAAGGCCGGGAGAGCTGGGACCGTTCAAGCCTGGAGAAGAGAAGGCTCAGAGGGATCTTATCAATGTATATAAATACCTGAAGGGAGGGTGCAAAGAAGACGGAGCCAGGCTCTTTCCAGTGGTACCCAGTGACAGGACCGGAGGCAATGGGCACAAACTGGAACACAGGAGGTTCCCTCTGAACATCAGGAAACGCTTTTTTTTACTGTGAGGGTGACCAAGCACTGGCACAGGTTGCCTAGAGAGGTTGTGGAGTCTCCATCCTTGGAGATACTCAGAAGCTGCCCAGACACGGTCCTGGGCAATGGCTCTAGGTGGCCCTGCTTGAGCAGAGGGGTTGGACCAGACAACCTCCAGAGGTTCCTGCCAACCTCAACCCCTCTGCGTAACCCGCCACGCTGCAGCCTGTCCTGGCTGCCCCCGACACTCACCCCTCTGCAGCAGAACCCCGCTTTGCTCCGGATTAAGTTCTGGGTCCCGCAGCGGGCGGCCGTTGGCACAACTAGCTGAAGACACCTGCCAGCCAGGCACCCCCCAGAAGCGGCGTGGCTGCCGTGGAATGGCTCCCACCATCACGGTGTGCCTCTGAACCTCTGCACCGTCCTCTCCAGCTCTTCAGTCTGCACAGTGGCTCTGAGGGGAAGGAAAGGGGGAGATGCACGGCTGGAGTGATTCAGATGCTTTCCCGGAGAAGGGCGTTAGGGTACTGCCTGCCTGTGGGGTCACACAGGCAGAGAAGGCAGCATCAAGGCTCAGCCCCTCTCAACCCCAAAGGCGACATACGTCTCGGCCACCTGAGGCAGTGCTGTGACCTTGATTTCCATTTAAACCACAAATACTTTAAGCTAAGCTGTGAACTCTCATACCTGGCTTGTATTTTACATCCTTTTTGCATGGGTTCCTATATGAAAACCTGTGCATATGAACAGATCCCTGCTTCTTTCTGGTGACCATTTCATGTCTTGCTTTCCAAGACACTGCAGATCACCAGCAACCTCTGGGCCTCCAGCTAGCTGCTGGTCTCATGTCCACCTCCTGCCCCTTTCACCCACGGCACAGGACACTTTCTGGCCCTACAGACAAGGAGAAAAGCTTGCAATTGTTTTCTTTCCAATAAGAAATGCTTGGCAGGGAAGAAGCCAGGAGCCTGACAGCCCTGAGCCATGATGGTCCCCACCAGCTCCCCCCAGCGCAAAGACAGCAGTCCTTTCACGTGCACAGCACTCACCTGCTCAGATTCGCCCTTGATGCACGACGGAGATTTGCAGATGCAACACAGCTCCCATGCGGTCATAATCCACTGGCACCACAGCTTTGATGCCTGGAAGGGGGGCAAGGAGGAGAGTCAGCTTGTCCTGCAACACCTTCAGAGTGGGTAGGAGCCCTCGGGCACCTCCACCCTCACCTCTCTGTGGCAGGGGCAGCCCATAAGCTTTGCTGGCCCAGGAACCCCCAAGTGAAGGAGGAAATGCTGCCCATCCCTGGGGACCATGGCCTCCCCGCCTCCCTCCCCATGCAGCCCTCGGCTGGGGACTCACTGCAGCGGCTGTCCAGAGGGAAGCTGCCATCTGTCCCACTGGGCATCCCCCCCCGAGCACTGTTCTGAATCTGGAAAGAGCAGGGCCAGGCAGATGAACAAAATCCCTGAAGGGATGCTCAGAAGCACTGAACACCCAAGCACACACCCTTTCTGGCACCCTGGTCCCGCAAGTTCTGCATCCCGTCACCTCGCAGGTGGGAAGTCAGCTTCGGCAGGTCACTTGCTGCGCTCGCTGCCTGACCTCGCCTGCCCCAGGAAACGGGTTGTTCTTTCATTACATTTCCAATAAGATTGGTGATTAACAGGCAGTCATGGCCAGTCCCGGAGAGCCGGCCAGCCCAAAAGCCACCGCCAGCAGTGCTGGGGAAGAGCACCGCCAGCGACCAGCCAGAACAGAGATACAGTACACCAGCTCCCTAGCAGCAGGGCAAATCAACACCATAGCATAACAAACCTCTGGTCCAAAACCTCAACAAAAGCTCTTTGTAAAGATCAGCTCCTCCTGGCACCCCACATGGGGCCTGCACCAAGGCAGGTTGAAAAGCAAGTGAATGCCCACAGCTGTAGGCGGACGCCGAGGTGGTAACACGTGGTGCTCTGCCGGCGTGGAAAGTTGCTGCTTCCCTCCTCTGTCCCTTGGGGAGATTTGTACTGTGACTGCGTGGCACAGACAACCGCTGGGAAGCAAAATCAGCAACCAGCGGCAAGAGTCAGTACGGTGCAGCAGGAGAAAGCCACATCCTTCCTGCGCATCCCCACAGCTGTAGGCGGACGCCGAGGTGGTAACACGTGGTGCTCTGCCGGCGTGGAAAGTTGCTGCTTCCCTCCTCTGTCCCTTGGGGAGATTTGTACTGTGACTGCGTGGCACAGACAACCGCTGGGAAGCAAAATCAGCAACCAGCGGCAAGAGTCAGTACGGTGCAGCAGGAGAAAGCCACATCCTTCCTGCGCGTGTCCATGCTGGGACAAATACGCAGTTTCACCTGCATCCTTTCTTTCCTCTTCCAATGTCCCTCTGCAGTCACAGCCCTTCGCTCCCCAGCGGCAGCTGCCTTTCGGGGCAATGGGTCCATCAGGAAAGGCTGACATGCTGACACCACAAATCCATCCCAGCCGAGACCTCAGCGCCAGTCACCAGCTGATGCCAGCACTAGCCAGTAGTGCACACGCCTAGCACAAGGGGCTGCACCATGTTTTGTCAGCCCAGATACTGTTTCTCGAAGCATCATGGTGGGAAATGCCAGGATCCCCCAGCCCACCCCAAAAGTGTCTCCAAGTACACCTTGGGACATCCTTGTACATCCCCCTGGAGGTCTGCCTGGCAGCCTGGGATGGGAAGCAGCTGGAGCACAGCACTGCTCCTCACTCTCCTGCAAGGCACTGTGGCCAAGGGAGGTTCCTGTCCCCCTTCCCCTAGCCTTTGGGGTTTCTCTTGGCTGTGTTTAGCTCTGCCTCCCAGGGCAGCTCCTCCCCGCTGAGAGCCCAGCCAGCTCGCAGCAGGGCTCAGCCTCTTACACCCCCCAGCAGGAGCCCCCCCCCCCCCCTAGAGAGCCAGAGAGCAACACCGGGACCAGGGACTCCTGCACGCTAAGCAGGGACGGGGAGGCAGCACCTGGTCACCTCTTCCCTTCTCCTCCCCTTGAGCCAGGCGTCTCCAGAGCCCTACTTCTGGCCACCTGGATGGGGAAGGTCCAGGTCCTCACCAGCTCAGCTGAGCAGCACAGGTAGCATCCCCTGGATGGAGCATGTAGGGCTCCAAGTGCCCAAGCCAAGAGTTTGGCCCCTCCTAAGGCCAAGCGATGGTGATTTTGCCAGTGTTTCAGCCTGTGCTCATGCTCTGACTCTAAGACAGGACTTAAAGAGCTTTGCCTGTTGGGCTCCTCCTGCTCTCTGCCCTGCTCCTGCCAAGCTCCCAGGCCCCCTTGATGCTCAGAGGACAGAAGGGGACCTGTGCTTTTGCCAGGGTCTCCCAGCACCTGGGTCCAGAGCTATGGCCAAGCACAGCTTTCCTCTCTTCCTCCAGCCCGGCAAGGCCTGGCGAAGTGCACTACGCTTCAACAGCCATGAAATACCCAGTGCCAAAGGACCTGCAGGGAGGGAGCGTCTCCCAGGCTCTGGGACAGAGACACTGCGTTCCCTGGGGACACTGAGCCACCAGATCCTGATGCAGGATGACACAGCCAGGCCTGGGGCGGTCAGGGACTTGGCTTACCTGCTGGTTTCATTCCTATTAGCACATCCAGAGGGGACCCAGGATTAACAGACCGTGGTCTCAGTCTGGTGGCAACAGAGCAGGATGGCGGGTGAGGAAGGGTCCCTGGCTGGGCGATGCAGCAGCTGTACCACATGCCAAGCTGCAGCCTGCAAAAGGATCTATTGCTGTTTTAACTGTACTATACTGGCCAGAAAGGAAGCGGGACGGGTGCGGAGGCAGCTCTGCCAGCCCGGGGGGCATCTGTCGTAGGGCAGGACCGACAGAGCCCTTGGAAAGGGTCTGGCAGCACAGTGCTGGTGCAAGGAAGAGAGCAAGAGCTGTGCCCGAAGGAGCCACACTCACCCCGTGGGGATCCATGCGGCTTCCCAGAGCAGCACTGCCAGCCAGTCAAGGGGACACACGGCCGGTGGACAAGAGAGGCTTTGGTCTGGGCATTGCTGCCTGGGGCACAGCACCATGCCCGGGGACTAGCAGGGCCGAGAGGTGTCCTTGCACCATTTAGACCGCAAAAAAACCCAAACCAACCCCAAACTGGCTTTTGCTGCCTTCCTCCCTCCTGCTCCCTCTCCTGGGAACTGCTAAGGAGACCTTCACAGCCTCACTGGGGGTGAAGCAGGAACCATGCAGCCAGGAAACAGAGGGGCTGTCATTACAAGAGGGCAAATTGCATCCTCGGTACAAGCAGAGCACAAGGCAGGAGAAAAGGCAACAGAAGCTACTGGAAACAGACTGCCTGGAAGATAAGTTGCAGCTCCATCGGTCCTATCTGAACCCAAGGAGGAGGAAGGAAATCTAACCAGTGGAAGTGCAAATCCAGAAGCTCCCTGGCACAGGCTAAGAGCAGAGCTTGAGAAGCGCCAGCAGGCAGAAAGTTTCCATCACAACCCTGAAAGACGGCGGCACCAGCAGCAATGCTGCCACCAGAGAAGGGTTTCTCCACAGCCTGACAGATTGTGCATATCACCGTCAGGAGAGAGACAGACACGTGAGGCTGGAGACCACCTCCAGCACCGTCCATAGGAGAGGTGGCAATCCTGGAGAGAAGATGGTTAGAGAGATGCTAGAGGAGCAAATTGTGCCTGAAAGGAAAGACGACCAGCGTGGACGTGGCTCTGGCACTCCCGTGAGATTCAGGTTGGGGAGGAAGGAGCTCAGACTTGGTGGAAACAAGAGAGAGGGAGGGAGGGAGGATGGAGAGGGAGGGAGCATCCCTATCCCTCTGCAAGGGCAAGTGCTGCTCTCAGGGCTCCTCAGGAGGCCTCCTGCTGTGCCAGATTTATGCAGCTGCAGAACCTCGCTCAGTGCTGGCCTCTGTGCAGATAACAGGGAGGAAGCCCGAGCTCAGAGGGAAAGGATGGGGCAAGAGGCAGTGCCCATGTCAGGAGTGCAAGCTCCCAGAAACCACCAGACAGCTTCTACAGAGTCAGACCCAACATCTCCCTCTGCCCTGCAGCACCCATGTTCGTGAGGTGGTGCTGCTGCTGCCCTTCCTCCCATCCCGTGGGAGGGGACACTGACTGGGTCTAGAAGCCCCTGTGGACAGAGCAGCCCCCTCTGCAGGGCACCTCGCTGGGGCTCTAGGCTGCAGCAGGCTCCTGAGGGGCTGAGGTCTGCCCAGCGACGTGCGGTGCCTCCCCAGCCCCAGCCCCACACACAGGTGCCGCAGGGACTGAGCCCTTCCGCTCGGCCGAGCCAGGATAACACAATGAAACCTCTCCCAGGAGCTTGGAGAGCCGGAGCAGAGCTCCGGGTCCGGGGGCTTACCCCTGCTCCCCTCTGATGCCCCACGTCTTGGCATGGACTGCCTCCGCACACCTTGCCCAGCTGCCTCCCGTGCAGGCAGCGACACTGACAATAGCCTGCAGCTGCGAAG